ATACGCTTTTCAAAAAACCAAATTGTTTATACGTGTATTTGTACAGGAACACACACACTTTCAAAACAAAAGCTATCTAGAGGAAGTACAGGCAAAAGCAAAGAGGAAGGGCGAAGCCTGGCTCACTCTGCAAGCGCACTCCTGGCTTCCGGTACCACTGCCATTGCCTTGGCTGGTTTCTCAGTCCGGAAGGCATTGTGCTCTTTCAGGAAGAGCGTCACCAATGATGGAGGGGATGCAGGAAAGAGACCCTAACATAAAAATGCAGATCTTCTCCCAACATTCTTTGGAAATTTATCTTCATGAATTATACTTTTAATTAAGGCATGTCTGAAAGTTTCTTTTTCCCTATGAACTTTTTTTTTGAGAGAGACAGAGAGAGAGCAAGTGTGAGCCAGGAAAGAGCAGCGGGAGAGAGAGAGGGAGAGAATCTTAAGCAGGCTCCATGCCTAGCACAGAGCCCGACACGGGGCTCCATCTCAGGACCCAGAGATCATGACCTGAGCTGAAATCGGGAGTCAGACGCTTACCCAACTAGCCACCCAGGCGCCCCGCCCCTCCACAAACTTAAAAGGCATCTCTACCTTCATTCCCCATGTTCAAAACAATTTGCATACGCTGCTAAGACTGAGGTCAAAGAAAATGTGAAGGACTCTTCCTCCACATTGAGTACCAATCCACCTTGACAATACGCATTCTTGGCAAGAAACTCTAGGGGAAAAGCCTGTTCACTCCTAGCCAAGCGGTCCAATTACACAGGGAGGAGTCCTTCTGATGGCATAATGCTCATCATCAGCCCCACAACAACCTGGGAAGCATTCATTCCCAGTCCTTAACCCCTTAAATGAAATCAGACCAGTGTTCAAGCCAATCCATACCCAGGAGCCAAAAGGAATAAGTAAAGGAGTGAATGTTTTATTCTCTAGTGTTTAATAGAATACATAACAAGTCACATAATCAATGATTCATTACTTCACACACAGGGAGGAAAACAGTATCCAGTAGGTCTATTATACAACTGGTTGTGAACAGGGAGAACGAAAATCTCTAGAGCATTTAGATGGTTGAAGAAATTCTCACTTAAAGTTTGGGCTCGTCTGAATTGCCTTTTTTAAAATATAGAGGGATTTTTTTTCTTGGCTTTCTGTTTCATTAGAAAAGTCTGATAATCGTTATGATTTTTTTTCCTTGCCCTTCGATTTTGAGAAAATGGCTCAGTGATAGGTATCACTTAGCATATAACGTTTTTAACAATTGCATAATCCCAGAGAGCTCTGTGGAAATCTTAGATTGTTTGGCAGATACAAGTTTTTCAGATGTAGGGAAAAATTTAAATAACATATAATTAACATCACAACGGACGTCTTAAACTTTTGTCATTAAATGTCACTAATGATGGGTGAGTGGTCACAAACGAATTATCATCATTTGTATTCAATAATAATGGCAAAATTCACTTGCCTATAAAGTCACAAAGACAGTTGTATAATAGTTTACATTACAATGAATGTTCACATACCTCAAAATACATTTAAAATACAAAAAAACTTGGCCTGTGGGGAAAAAAAACACAAAATGTATAAGGTGACAAGGATTCTTGATCAACTATTCATCATCCTACCACACAAGATTAAACTCTAATGTAAAGAGTCTGCTTGGATTTCTCCCATCTTAGTTTCAAGGTCCCCAGTAGAGAATCTAAATCTTCAAATTCAAAGATCTTTAAGATTTTTATTGTCCAAAATTGTGACAAAGAAAAGTTAACTTCAACATAACTTGTTTCGGGCTCTAGGAAACCTTGCATCAGGTACTATAGCCACTGAAAACCCAAGAGTATTTTATTTATTCTCAAAAGACAGACTTATGTCATCTAAGAAAACTAATTCAGTTTTTAAATGAGTTATCATAAGGAAAAAACAAAAGAAATTCCAAAGGATTTACTCTGCTAAGTTTACAATAAAAAATATTCCTTTACTATTTTAGAAATTTAAGTCAGTTGAGTAAAGTACTTACGATTGAGACTATAAACGAAATTCTTACAGAATTCAACCCCTCCAGTCAATACTTTTCTAAACTCTTGCACCACAATTTAGCATTTTTCATGTGGAGTACAAAATGTTTTGAATATTAGATTAGAATTTACATAATTTAAAAAGTAAAAAATTACCAAAGCTTCACCTTACATGGCTTCAATGTAATAACACTCCATGGAAAATTCCAGTAAAAACTGGAATATGTTATGAGCATTGCCAGTCGCCCATTTTTGTCTGAGAATTCAGATTATGCATTTCCTCAGAGAAGCAACAGGCCCCATATATGGATCTGGTTTGAAAGAGAAGACAATTTTGGCTAGTCTTACAAATTTTCACTTTGCTATCAATGCCAAAAAAAAACCCAAAAAAAAACAAAAACAAAAAACCACCACCACCACCACCACAAAAAAAGAAACACAAGAATAAAAACAGTACTGAAAGGGAAAAAAAATTTCTAAGTCTCACACCTCCAAGGGGTATTTTCCACAACGTACAATTTGAAAAATTAGACTGACTATGGTTCATGGTCTACATGTATTAAAAAACAGGCGACTTATCCAATACCTGGTGCAAAAGCATTAACGTGGTGCATGTGTTTTTAACCACCACTGTCAACAATTCTTTTTTTTTTTTTAATGAAATTTGTTAAATCTCACGTCACTCCCTTGTACTCATGAACCAAATAGGCATTAAAGCCATGGTAAATGCACGCTACACTGGGTCAGCTTCCTGCAGTCATAATTATCTGAATCATTTATTAACATTCTCCCAGGTTATTTGAATGGTATCTTTGGAGGGCTTACTCGCATGGACCCTCGACATCCCATCCAAGCTCAGAGGTGACCACCGACACTCCAGCCCACTTTGCAGATTACCAAGGGTCCTTCTGTGGCCCACAGCACATGGAAGAGAGGGAACCCCAAAGTGCCCACGCTAAGTCACCTCACAGAGGATCCACCCAGCGTAGAATGAGTTTCCTACCCAGCCTTTACTTTGGGCTGGAAGTAGAATATTTTCATTTTTCGACAGCCGACCTTAAGAGGGGACAGTCATCCCTAGGAAAAGAAGTCAGTTAACGGTCTCTAACCATTTAAATTCCCAGTCTTTGACATAATGAAAGGGGTAGGGGAGCACTGCAGGGCAGCCAGGGTGTGTGGGGAAGTAAGATCCATAAGGCCAAAGAAGTGGAATAGCTCAACTCAAAGCTTTACGAGATAAAATTCATTAAGACTTGAGTGGCACAAACAAAACTTCAGCAGTTTCCCATGACTCCCGGAGTTGTGCAGGTTGAACAGGGAAAATCAGAATCCCAGAGTCTTGCCATCTGTCAGTGGATTTGATCTGTCCTAAAATGTTCTCAAGTATGTGCTTTCTGTCGCACAATCTAACAGAACACCATACAGTGTGGAGAAATCTCTGTGGCACTCTTCTGTCCAGAAAGTGACTTTGCTAAATTATTTCAGGCTTGGAACAGAGATAAGCTCTGTTGCATCACCTACTCTGAGAACACACCCAACATATAAGCAAACCCAACTTCCTGGATTTCTGCTTCCATTTCCCTTACAATTACAGTCTTCATACATAAAGCTAACTTTACCTTTCTAAAAATTTAACTCCAATGAAAAGACTTCAAATCTTTCTGTTTACCAATTGAAAAAAAAAAAAGAATTAGTGGGTTAAAAATACAGGTACCTCGATCCTAAGTGGACAGTTAACGGACACATTATTAGTACATAACTAACAGCCAGGAAAAAAGTATAGAGCAAACTCAGTTCTAAAATTATGTATTTTTTCCTAACCCGGTGTCCCCAGAGACAAAGATCTAAGAAACTCATGAAAACATGTTGCTTTAGTATATACACCATCTGATGCACGTTACTGGGGGTAAATATAGGAAATCTTTTAGCATTAGTAAATGAATTAAAAAACTAAATGATTCATGTAAAATGTTTATATATGGTATATACAGATTGGATCACATGAGTCTAAGAATAAAACTGTTCCAATTCTTAGTATCTGTTATGGACATAGTAAGGTAAAGTACAAGATTCATTTTTAAAAAGAAGAAAAAATAGCACTAATTTGAACACTGAAAACGACTCTTACAAAATCTTTAAAAACATACTTCAGAGAAACTGCTGAAACTAATGAAAAAGGAAAGGCTTCTCCGTCATCACAGAATATCCAAAGGAGCCACACAGCATGAAAGACAAGGATTGACTTCCCTTCACCTAAGGGGCAGACAGGATATGCAGTGGGAATTTATTCCGTGTTAGAGTAAAGGTATAAGGCAACCAGGTCTCCTTCTGTTTCTCTTGCATTTACCTAAAACACTATTTTATTGCTCAGCCCACTTGTAAGTACTTTTTCGCCTTCGTTTAAAAACATGTCATTGTATGGCTACCTACAGATGGGCAGCCCCTGGTGCTTCTATGGCTCTGCAGCTGTCACCCAAAAAGATTCCACCTTCATTTCAAACCATCTGCAGGAAAGAAATGGCATTTTCAGGATTTCGGGGTTTGCCCAGAAGTCAACACTGGCTGGGTTTGAAGAAAATACGGATTTTTAAGAAGAAGAGATCTTAAATTTAACCAAAATCAGACGATTTTGCTTGTTAATAGATCTTAAAATCAGGATTTATAATCAACAAGAAAATAAAGTTTAAAAAAAAACGAAACTAAAGTTCAAAAACTACTGGGTAACTCTTTGGTTAGGTTATGTAAGTATCAGCAACTTCTAAGTTTAGGACTCAAAACAGTTAGTTCATTAAACTGCCAGATAAGAGTGGATCTGTTATTAATCTTTATAAAATGCTTTGCACGTTTGTGTGCACTATTTTTTAAATGTGCGTGTACTCGAACGGATGGCACAAACTTCCACCTTTCAAATAATAAATGAATGTGTCTGCTCCTCCCTTCCCACCCCTTCACCCCTCCTTTCTCCCTCCCCCCCCCCCCCCCCCCCCCCCCCAAGTCTTACAAGCTAAAGTCCTACTGCCATTCACTGCAAGAATACGGGCTTTCTTAATACCCACGGCGTGCATTACTACTACCCAGCTCCGTTTACAGTCACGGCCGGGTGACTTCCCGCAGTGCTTGGTGACCTGGGCTGTCTGGCCCTTGCCGGCGTTAGCACTCTTGCTCCCTCCCGCCAGGAAGGGCGGCCATGTCGACCAGTCGAACTAAGCGCAACGCGCGCTGGAGCCAAGGAGAAAGGATGCCTCCTAACGCAGGAGAGTGACTTTCTACAAGTTTAAGCCACAGGCGAAGACCTTTCGTTGTGCACGGAAGAGATACGATCCTTCATTGTGCCAGCACTAGATTCTTTTCCTACTTCTACCTATAACTTGTCAAAACTTTATTCATTTTGTAGTCACTGACCTGCCTACACGGGATCCTAATTCCAGGTCCAGAGTCTTCCATCCAGCCCTCTAAAACTCTACCTTTAAAGAGGGCCAAAAGGTTACGTAATGACCTTTTAAAACACTAACTATTCCCAGTGTTCTCAATTCTGATCTCTTAAGCCGCGAATGAGTCAAAAGGGCTTGGGATTTCAATCTTCTACACACTGGACAGGGTCCAATCAGGTTCTGAACAATTCTGCCATCCCCAGGTACTTGGTGACTTTGTGGTCACACTGCCCCCATTAGATCCAGACTGAAGGACAATCCAGGGGAGGGGTGGTTTGAGTCAGGGGGCAGAGGAAGCACTGGAGGGGGCTCTCTCGGTTAGCGGGGTCCAAAGAAGACGAAGAAGCCGAGAGGATTTGCGGCTGCAGGTTCTCAAGTGGGGGCGGGGGGGCGGTGAGTGGGCCTGGCCCAGCTACTAAAGGTGGGAGACAGGGGAATGGAAAGGCGTGGGATAGGAGGGGAGATCTATAATCCTCTCCTCGGCAGGAAGGAGGGGGGATGGGAGAGCTGGAGCCGCGAGGGGGTCTGGGGAGCTCACTCCCTGCAGAAGACGTACTCCGTGTAGCTGGTCCAGATCTTGTCCTCGCTCTGGTCGGTGCTGCTGGCGAAGGCGCAGGTGCCGGTGGAACTGCACGCCACCATGTGGAAGCCCGACTCGGACAGCTTGTCGAAGGCCTGCTCCAGGAAGTTGAACTTGAGGTAATAGCGCGAAGTGTAGCGCTCGGGAGGCCGGTCCGGGTCCCGGCTCTCATTCAGGGTGTCGCCGAACACCTCCTTGGCCAGCGACGTCTTGCCGCACACGGTGATGCGTGCCACTCGCCGGAACTTGGCGTCCGCCTGCGCGTCCCGCCCGATAGTGTAGGAGCCGCGGTAGCCGATGGTGATGTAGCCCGAGCGCCGGCTGCCGTCCAACGACTGGGACGGCGTGAGCAGCGGGCCCGCCGCACCCCCGGACGGGCTGCGGCTAGCCAGCTCCAGCGTGGGCGACGGCGCCCCGGCCGACGAGCCCTCTTGCTGCTCGGGCTCCGCGTAGCCGAGCGGCAGCAGCTCGTCGCCCAGCGAGCCCTCCTTCTGCACCCCGCGCCGCGAGTGCGGCGGCGGCGGCCCGGGGCCGGGCTGCTGGGGCGCCCCGAGGCGGCGCACGAGCTCGGGCAGCTCGAAGTACTCGGCCTCGCGCTGCAGCCGGCTGCGCTCGGGGAAATAGTCGGGCAGCACGAGCTGCAAGTCCCGCAGGTAATCCAGGATGTAGCGGAAGAGGAAGCCGTCTCGGTCCAGAAAGAAGCGGCCTTTGCTGTCCCGGGCCAGCTCCTGCGGCTGCTGCTGCGTGAACATGCGCCAGAGCAGCGAGTCGGGCACCGACACCACCGTGCAGCGCCGGGTCACATACACCTGCCCCCCCACGTTCAGCTCCACGATATCGGGGAAGAGCGGCGGCTCCGCCGAGGAGGACGACGAGCCGCTGCCACCCCCGCCGCCGCCCCCGTTGGGTAATCCACGTGTGCTGTCCGCCAGAGCCATGGCAAAGAGGTGGCCGGTCTGGGGTGGTGGCAGGGAGCGGGGCCGCGCGCCGAAGCCGCCGCCGCCTTTCCCGGACGCTGGCTCAGCCCTGC